CTCGAAAGTATGCGGATATTTCAGTGAAAACATAAGTCCGTATAATTATGTATAAAAGCAGTTAAAATACATTAATTATTTTGTATATTTTTAATCAACAGCTACAATAGTACCCTCTAAAGACAATTGGAAGTCCATTTTTTTATAATAATACTAAAAAATACCAAAAAGGTCGTCGATACGATATTTTTAATCTACATCCCATTGATTTTCCCGCCAATGCTTTTAAATCTAAATAGAGATGTGAAAAGAATAATCGACTAAATACCTTTATTAACTGACTATTAATGGAATCGAGTCACTGAAGTTTTTAACTTGGCAGAAATGATTATAATATTGATATTAAAGATGTTTTGGAAGCATAAAAATGTAAATTTAGAGAAATAGCGTATGCAACACCACATTTTGTTTTTACAAACTTATATTTAGCTTGGAAGATCATGACATTAGAACAAGATTCTAACACTGGTTCATAGAAATATTTACAACTGATTTTGAATTTAGAATTAATTTATTGAAGATGAACAAAATGCTATGTCACATTCATAAGTATTTCTACCCAGCTGTCAAACTTTAGTGACGTGAAATATTTTAATATTTAGTCGATCATTCGTTTAACATCTGATGACTAAATTTTAAATGTCAAATACGATTTTTTAATACTTTTTTTCGCGTATACAATTTTGGATTGAACGTTAAGTTTTCGAATTACTATATTTAAAGGGAATCGTATAGTTTACAATCGTATATTCGTTTTTTTATTACTTACAAACTAATTTAGTTGGTATGGAGACATCGACATAAATATCACTGCGAAGATTTTTCTGTCTTTAATAAAACAAATTGATTATAAATATTTACATAAAAAATAATGGTCAATGTCACTTAAACTAACTTAATAATAAAACACTAGCATAGCAAATAATATTTCCTATATTTATACAAAAATAAACATACTGTACTTATTACAGAAAAAAAAATTATTTTGTTTTATAACGTTGCCTACACCGATTCTCCACTACCAACCAAAGAAAACTAACACTAATATGGCTGTGTAAGTAAATTAAAAAGAAATCAACAATGAGTATATTTGAAAACTAATTACTTTTTATAAATAAATAGATACAGTATTTCAGTGGACGGTTCATTCTAGTGTTTTGAATGTAAAAAATATCCTTAGTCACTATTTCTTGTGTCAGTCGGTCAAAATCGGGGAAGAAAATTATTGAAACATCTGTGTTAATTCACAACCGGTATTAAAATTGACAAAACGCTGAACTAAATCACCTCTTTGAGGGTTTCAGGGGCTGAAGTGTAATAACTAAAGCGTTAACGTTCTTGGTAAAATCGCTTTTGTATTAATTAAAATATGGTACAAAATTATATGCGATTATTGAGTAAAATAGTTAAGAGGCGAGAGTTTTATTTATAATACATTCGTTTTTATGTTTAGCGACAAAAGCGGGTTTGCCAAAAACGATGGAGTTTTTTAAAGAATGATCTTTTTACCTCTATCTTTTAGATATATCATAAGTACTTTATATAGTCGTCTCAGGTAAGGAATTGATAAGTTTTACTATCAGATTAATAGTATTATCCTTACTATATTATAAATGGGAAAGAGAGTTTGTTTGTTTGTTCCGCTTTCACGCCGTAACTTCTAAATCGATTGCTTTGAATTTTTGCAGACGTAAAATTAGAAGTCCGGATTAAATAATAGGGTACTTTTTATCCCGGAAAATTTTGGTATTCCCGAGGGAAAACAAAAGAATTGGTATAGATTGCGCTGTGTGTATTGGTATAATCCTTTTGTGACGCGAGCTAACCCGCGGGTAAAAGCTAGTATATTATAGAAGACAAATATAGGCTTGTATAACAAATATTCTTCAAATATATAACTGCAAAAAGTAGACAAATAGGTAACATTTAATCCAAAAAAATACTAAGCTTTAGCAAGATACAATTTATTTCGATTGCGCCTAAAATGGCCATTTACAGAACACCTACATCTTGTCATTTATTGTATTAGTCCTAATTGTAATAGAAGCAAGTTTGTAAGTATTAATCATGTATGATAGATATACCAATTTAAGGTAGCGCAGCGAGCTATGGAGAGGGCTATGCTCGGAGTATCTCTGAAGGATAGGATCCGTAACGAGGTGATCCGACAGAGAACTAAAGTTACCGATGTAGCCCAAAGGATTAGCAAGCTGAAGTGGCAGTGGGCCGGTTTCATTTGTCGAAGAACCGATGACCGCTGGAGTAGACGTGTTCTAGAGTGGAGACCGCGTCTAGGCAAACGTAGTGTAGGGCGCCCTCCAGCTAGGTGGAGTGACGATATACGTAAAGTGGCTGGTAGTGGTTGGATGCGTAGAGCTGAAGATCGAGCTCAGTGGCGTGCCATTGGAGAGGCTTATGTCCAGCAGTGGACGAAAATAGGCTGTTGATGATGATAGATATACTATGGGACACACCGTGAAAATTTTAATAATGTACTATGAGTTCGTATACACATAAAGCTTGCTTTTGCAATGGTTCAACAGTTATTTGTCGTTTCAAACATTTCATTTCTTTGTAAAACTATTGTATTACCAAGAGATAATCATTACTTCGGGACGAAATGTAATGTAACGAAATGTATCAGAGACATTGTAGAACATACTTTTTTAAAAAGAGTATCGAATGGAGTTTCTTGCTCGTTCTTCTCCATTCGAATCTACATTTAGGAATGAGCACCTAGCTTCACCTAGCTTTACTGACGGACTATCTGACAGACTATTATTTTGTAATTGTTGACGTTTGAAAAATACCAAATTATGGTTTAATTGAAATAAATGCTTTGACTTTGACTTTGACTTTAGAAAATAGGCAAAAAGACCATCTTTAAAATAATTTTCCTTTAGTTTTGTCGATATAATGAAATAGTACTTTTGTTTATAATAGTTGAGGTATGAATTACGTATACAAAGTTCTAGTTTTAGATATATCTTAGTAACAGTGTGTTTATAAATATTTCTTTTTGACATGCCTTTTATTATTATTCACGAAAATCAACTGATAAATACAGAGTGTAAGTGAATTGCTTGCCTTTTTATAATAACATAACATCGCGCCTTTTATCCCCGAAAGGGTAGACAGAGGTGCACATTATGCCACTGTACAATGTAACACCAATTTTTCACTATTTATTTTTTATGAGACAAACAGACAAAAATTTCAAAAATGATGGAAATGGGTTGTTTTAGTTATCTTTTAACACGCTGGCTATTTTTTTTTGTCAATTTCTTCAATGTACAAAAATTACTTTTCTACAGATTTATTATATGTATAGATACTAGCATCTGATTCTACTTAGATACAAGTACCAGAAACCAATCTATATTGCGCTATTTCTGGAGCATATTATTATTCCCTAAACAAATACTTCTATATAAAATTGACTTTTCAGTTATCGTATACTTTCAAATAATTAATTGTATTTATATCGTATACAAAATTATGATATTTTTTAGTATTGTTTAGTAAGAAGAACGCTCATATAAATCTATTCATTGAAAGTATTGTTTTTATGGACTAAAATGAACAGATAGATCACCTGATAGTAAGCAATAAGCTATTTTCCAGGGTATGAAAATTAAAAATGTAATTAGTCCGTCAGTTAGATACTGAAAAATGTTAGACACGTATTTTTTTATTTTCTCGTATAAAGTTATAATACTTAGATAAAATGGAGTTAAGTTTAGGAGTTAGTCGTTACGTCACAACGTGTTACAAAATGTAGAATGTTGTGACGTCACACGATATTTCAAATCAATCCTATTCTTAAAATTCTTATTATTAAACCTAATTGTCTTAATGTTGATAAAGCAATAATTTTTTTTAAATCAAACTCATAATTAGCAGAAATTCCCGCTATAAATATAGTTAAACCTGATAATAATAATAATAACTTTAAAAAATATATATGGTCGAAAGTATTTAACTTTGTGAGAAAAGAAAAATATTTGTCTAATGTTTTAAATTAATCTACCAGACGGACATTAAAATTAAATTTAGAAAACTACCCTATTAGCGCCGCTAATAGACGACAACACTAGGAGTTACAAATGCATTATCGGCGTTTTGCATTCACTCACATGGCACACAACACAAGCGTTGCTTCACGTCGGTTTTCTGCTCGGCCGTGGTATCACTCCGGTCGAGCCGGTCCATTCGTGGCGAAACATGTCTTTCTTATATTTTTAGTATAGTTTTATTTTGTTAAGCGTCCAAACTTTGATATATCGTATACCATATTAATAGAAAAATTCTATTTTTAAACACACTGTTACCAGAAATATAATTACTATTCTACGCTTAAAAATTAACGGTATACTGTCAATATATTTTATATTATTATGTCTTTTTAATTTTTTATTTATTTATAAATAAATGAATTTCATTGTGACATGGTATTCGTCATGAAAAGATAATTTTTATATTTAAAATTAATACGTATACATTTGAATCGTAATGGAATCGACTAACTCGATTTCGTAATTGTCCAATCGATCATGCTAGTTTTAGTAACGGGTACGTCACTACATCTGTCATCGAGTGTCAATGTCAAACGGTTTCCCGCGTAAAATTGAATTGCGACTTAAAATTTTACAATGGACGAAGAAAATTACTATTTTGCCACATTTAAAATGTACACTTAGGGACACTATTATCTTTTGTTAATAATCATTCACAAAGTATCAAATGAATTAATTATCTGTTAACTGTAATTTAATGATTCCTTAGTTACCAGCTTATCACGGCCTCGATTTGTCCAGTCTTTCCATACATACGACGGTCAATTTAAACTGGTTTTGCATAGTTCGATACATGGAACTATACAGAACCAGTTTTCCCTGACCTCGCTTCGACTAATCTTTCCATAGATACGATAGTCAATTTAAACTGGTTATTGCAGTACACAGTGACGTAATCGTTGCTAAAACTGGACACTACCTGATTTAATGCATTGGTTGCTGAATAGGGTACGTGGTATGCTCTGGCTGATCGCTCGTCGAGTCCTGCTCGTCACCTGATGGGTCGCCTTCCTGATCCTCGTCTTCTGATGATGAGAGGAGACCTGGAGATGAGATTAGACAGTTTTTATAGTGTGCGAGTACAAGTGCGTTACCGGCCTTTTGGGAATTGGGGATTTGAGGATTGTGGAGGATTAGGCAGACTGGGAGAACCTAACGGGTAACCGGGGCTTCGGCTCGAAGTGCAGGAGAAGGAACGGGGCGGTTTTTAATCATTAAGAGTGTTTCACTCCCTCTCGCCTCACCCAGGCGGGAGCAGACATTCGATAATTTTCCCCCCTTAAATAAAAGGGAGACTGGGGAGGAGGAGGGGCTCCGGTTACCTCACTCACACGACGAAAAACAACGCAAGCGTTGGTATCCTCCGGTTGAGCCGGCCCATTCGTACCGAAGCATGGCTCTCCCACACTTAGACCGTTATCTCTAGTAACTGGATGTAAAATAGTCGAATTCAACATGAAGAGTTTACGTTCTTGACCATCATCACACCATTTAATCTCTGGAGATGTAGACAGAGGTGCATGGATAAATTAACACCCATTTTTCAGCTGTTATGTTGTATATGACTGCACGGTTGGTGCGGTGGCTGGGCAACCAGCTGCCGTGTAACGTGTCGCGGGTTCGATTCCCGCACGGAACAAGTCTTTGTGTGCTCCACAGATTGTAGTTCCGTGTCAGTGTGTGATGTGTATATGAACTTGTATGTTTGTAAACGTACACACGACACCGGAGAAAATCCTAGTGTGGAGCAACGTTTTTTAAAAGGAAAAAAAATACTAAATGAATAGTCATGGTAACTCACCGGCTGTGAACTGTGGGTTGGAGAGTGCATCAGGCCAGTACCTCTTGCTGATTGAGGAGCCATTTTTACCTTTCTTGCCACCTGGAACAGAACACATTTGTATTTAGTGAACATAATATCACGCCTTTTTATTCCCGAAGGGGTATGCAGAGGTGCATATTGCGGCACTTAATGCCACTATACAATGTAACACCCACTTTTCACTATTTATGTTATTGAGCCTATTGCCATATACCGGGCACTACTCCAGACTCCGTGCTACTACTGAGATTTTTTTTAAAAACCCAGTAATACTTTGCCCGACCCGGGAATCAAACCTGATACCCCTTGCCAATGAGGCAGTCAGTATCAAGCCTCATATCCACATGGCAACAGTTGACGCGCGACATGTTGCTCAGCATGTTTCGCAATTTGTTGAATGTTGACGCGGAACATTTTTGGTTACGATGGAGGTGGTATGAGAGTAGGATGGAGGAGAGATACGAGGATTCGAACTTTTTTTTTAATTGGGACAAGCCCGCCACATCCTCCCAAAACCGCTGCAACTCTTGTGCACCAGGATCTACAGTAGATACAACCATGCAAACACCGGAACACTGAAGTCCCAGGGACATAAGTAACTGTCTTGGTTCCCGCGACCAAGTGAATCAGAAGATATTATAAGAGGAAAAGAAAAAAAAAGTATGGTTTCCACTTCCCTCGGTGAATTACTGCAGGAGACAGAATGAATTAAGCCTAAAGGCACAAAGAAGAGACTGTACAACTGGGTGAAGCCCAGTCGCCAAGCACCACGGAAATTTGACTAAAAACTAAGTGGGTCCTATGTGTGAACTGTTATACTTGCTTCCAATAATAGGTATGGCAAAAGCGCCTAAACGCACGGAAATTTGTTCTAGATTCCACAAGGTCCGTATAATAAGCTACACCTGACGAAACAATTAAATTATTCAACATAGTGTTACGTTCATACTGCTAGAGATCACACTCCCAGAGAATGTGATGGGCGGACTGCTCGTATTGCAACTCCGCTGTCGATACGATAGGATACGAACTACTAACGATGTAGTAAAACAAACAACAAGTCGCGCGTCATGTTGCGCGGCAGCTGGCAACGTCGCGCGCTGTAGTGCAGCGTTGCCGTACATGTTGAGATTCACGTGTCGCGCGACAAATGTTGCCTAGTGGATACGAGGCTTTATATGTATAGATGTGGTATAATAAACATTGTTTTTGAACTAGTCTATTTTTTTTTTAAACTTCACCTCACACTAGGATTTTCTCCTGTGTCGTGGGTGCGTTTACAAACATACAAGTTCACATACACATGACACCCAGACCCGAAACAACAATTTGAGGATCACACAAAGTGTTGTCCCGTGCGGGAATCGAACCCGCGACACTTTGCACGGCAGCCGGTTGCCCAGCCACCGCACCAACCGTGCAATCATTTTTATCGGTTAGTCTCACCAGGTTTATCAGCACAGTCGAGCATGGGCTGCAGGATCCGTCGGCGCGCGTTAATGAACCAGTTGTTGACCTGCAGCAGAGTCAGTCGCGTCTGTGCCGCCAGGGTGCGCTTCTCTTCTTCTGTCGGGTATGGGTGCTGGGGATTTGGAGATAGACATCATCATCAACAATCTATAAGTGCATTAATCACCACGCGTGATCAATGCGGGTTGGCGATTTCAAACTTATAATCAGAAATTATAAGCCTAGGTTTCCTCACGATGTTTTCCTTTACCATTTGTACATGTATATATGTATGTATGTATGTATGTATTTATGTATGTATGTATGTATGTATAAAGCTGAAGAGTTCGTTTGTATCAACGCGCTAATCTCCATAACTTTTTTTTTTAGGGGGGAAAATCATCCAATGACTTCACTCGCCCGGGTGAGGCGAGAGGGAGTGTCAGGCTCTTACTGACTAAACACCACCCCGTTCCTATTCCTGCACTTCAAGCCGGAGCCCCGGTAACCCGTTAGGTTCTCCGCGGCTTCGTATCGGCATCAGCCCTACTGGGCCCCATCTGTGGTGGTCTGATGGCTCTTTGAGGCGCGCGCGGAACGCTCGGCGCCGTCCGCTGGGGTCTGTTTCTGGTCGGACGGGGAGCCACCCATGCTGTATGTCCTCCGGCCCGCGCTTACGGTGGCCGGAGATCGTTAATATCCATAACTACTGGACCGATTTGAATAATCCTTTTAGTGTTGGATAGTGCATTTAACGAGGAAGGCCGGAAAGAGCTGATGAAACAGCGCGAAAGTAATAATCAATATACAGACAACGATAAATACTCACAACAAGATGTTGGAACAGCCAGGCCCTCATGACCTGCGTGGCATGTCGCGGTAGTACCCCCCGCTTGCCCCCCTCGTCCGTACACTCCTCCTCGGGGGGTGGGGAACCGGATACAGAGGAACATGAATTGTTGGAATTCGTACCTGTTAATAAAAATTGTTATTATTATACCACTCACGTAACCGTTTGACAAAGAACTCGACTAGTTTCAGTAGCAACGCGACAGTCGCCGCGTCGAGTGTTGTATGCTGCTCATGAGTATGAGCCTCTAGCATGGCTTGAAACTAGTCGAGCTCCTCGTCAAATAATTACGTGAGTAAGCCAAAAACATAATAATTAATTTAGTATGTGTTTTTATAATAACTATCGTAAGACATACTAAACATAACATAACATCACGCCTTTTATCCCCGAAGGGCCAAAGGGGTAGGCAGAGGTGTAGATTATACCACTGTACAATGTAACACCCAATTTCACTGTTTATGCTATGAGCCCCATGTAATAGAGCCTATTGCCATATACCGGGCACAATTCCTGACTCCGTGCTACTACTGAGAATATTTAAAAAACCCAGTAATACTTTGCCCGGGAATCGAACCCGATACCCCTTGCCCGGCAGTCGCACTTGTGACCACTCGGCCAACGAGGCACTAACTAAAAATCGCGGGTTACTCACGTGAATATATTGAGAAAAGCTCTACTAGTTTCGAACCACAGAGGGGTTCTAAACTATTTGATTTTTTTGTTAGCCACTTATAAGCTGTTGATGATGATGAGAGCAAGTTGAACTTACCAGTAAATGAGTCAGTTGAGAGCAGCCCCGCACCTATCTGACTGATCGGCGTCGAACCCTGGACTACAAGGGACGCTAGAATTATAGAAAACATTTTTATAAATAATACTTTAAAGATATACGATATCAAATTATGACTACCAGGCCAAGATCGATATAAGATGTTTGCAAACAAGTCAAAAGTGTAGAATTACGTGTCATACTACCGCCCTCTCTTTCACTCTATTTACTGACAGTTCTGGGGGCTTACTTCCGAATCCAATTCCGATCAATCGACATTGACATTGTGAAATTTCGTACTCTTGAATTGCAACACTAGCGCCCATTGTATCCGTATTGCGTGAGTATTTAATGAACTCCATGGCATAAAGTTTGGCTTTATATTCCGTACTCTGAATGCTATTTTAACAGCTACGATAAGGGTTGTATAATGTTGACATTGAATAATTATTGAGATTTTATTGGATTGAAATTGCATTGATATTGGGATTGGTTTCAAGAGTAACCGCCCAGGACATACTAGTACTAACTGTTGAATCTACAAGCGGTAACCATTGACCGCTCTCCACCTACTCGATTATAGACCGTATTTCCGATGTTTAGAGACTAGTTTTGTATGAACTAATGTTGTAGAATTTTCATAATCGTGTATTAAGAGAAGCTAAAAAAGATTAATTAACTCGTCGAGTACCGTATTTATAGACACAATTAAAGAACAATAGGTTGCGGTCACCGGTGACCGCTTGGTGTTTGACAGTTTAAACTGTTACATTTTTAACCCAAGAGTTGGCGCGCTATGGGCATTGTGCCGCCCGTGCTAAAAACACAGTAATAAGTGTGGGAGAGCCATGCTTCGGTACGAATGGGCCGGCTCGACCGGAGTGATACCACGGCTGAGCAGAAAATAGACGTGAAGCAACGCTTGCGTTGTGTTTCGTCGTGGGAGTGAGGTTACCGGAGGCCCAATTACGCCCCCTCCCTTCCCCAATCACCCCAATTCCTGAATCCCAACGATCCTCAAACTCCTAATCCCCAAAAGGCCGGCAACACACTTGTAACGCCTCTGGTGTTCCAGGTGTCCATGGGCGACGCCGATTGCTTACCATCAGGTGATCCGTCTGCTCGTTTACCGGCTTATGCCATAAAAAATAACTTTTAACCCGTTGAAAATCATCCCCTATATTTGTTCATACAAAAGTAGTCTCTAAACATCGGAAATAAGGTCTATAATGTAGTTAGTAGATAGCGGTCGCCGGTGACCGCTTGGGAATATATTGGGTTAAAACAATTGCTCTTTTGAATAGCTGCCTGTAGTCTCTTTAGGAATACGTTTTTTTTTATAATACGTTGCAGCACACAAGGAATTTCCTCCTGTGTCGTGTGTACGTTTACAAACATACAAGTTCACATACACACACAGACACGGAACTACAATCTGTGGAGCACACAAACAATTGCTCCGTGCGGGAATCGAACCCGTTGCGCGGCAACCGCGCCAACCGTGCAGTCTAGTTTTGTTTGTTGTCAGTTTCGTTGACCGATTACGGAATGGTAACTCCTCCGGTGTTTCGGGTGTCCATAGACGACATAGATAGATCAAATACATAATAGATATTATAATTATTCTTAATATTAACATTCGAGTCTAAAATATTGTGCCATAGGTTAAACTATGCCTTATAAATATCTTAAGCAAAAAAAAATAAACATACGTGTATCCCGCTGCGCCGGCGCATAAGGCAGGTCTGTGTGCGGCGGGTACACAGTCGGGAACTGAGCCGACACCAGCGGGGCGGGGGGCGACTGAAACCAATGAGGTATTATTGTCAAGCAGGGATAAAAATAAGAATTTTAAAAGCACTGAAACAGGTCACGGAAAAAAATGTCTGCAAAATAAGTTATGAATAAGAAGTCAGTTAGGTAATGAAAAAATATTAGACACGTTTTTTTTTCGGAGTCGCGGAGAACCTAACGGGTTACCGGGGCTCCGGTTCGAAGTGCAGGAGTAGGAACGGGATGGTTTTTAGTCAGTAAGAGTCTGACACTAAGGCGGGAGCAGTCATCTATTGAGCAAAAGAACGGTAGCTCCCATTGTTCGTTATATCTTAGTTCATCCACGATAAAGATACAAGTGCTGAAAAAGCTTTGATTCATAATATCAAACCATAATATCACGCCTTTTATCCCCGAAGGGGTAGACAGAGGTGTACATTACGGCACTTAATGCCACTGTACAATGTAACACCCACTTTTTACTATTTTACGTTATGAGTCCCAAGTAATAGGGGGTGAACCTATTGCCATATACCAGGCACAATTCCAGACTCCGTGCTACTACTGAGATTTTTTTAAAAGCCCCAGCAATACTTTGGATGACCCAGGAATCGAACCCGAGACCCCTTGCCGAGTCGCACTAGCGACCACTCGGCTAACGAAGCAGTCCATAGCAATATCAAAATTAATGTAGAAGTATGAGTAAATACAATAAAATTTAACATACATTTCATACCTGATATTGTGGCGAGTTGGAAGTGCTGGAGTGTTCGTCTATAGACCCCGACAGATTGTTGTTGCTTTCTACACCACCTGCAAATGAAAACAATACTCTATTACACGATTGACGACTTCTACGGGCCCCGGTGTGGCTTGAAACTGCTTGAGTATACTCGTAAAAGTAAAACAATATAATAATCTTCTATATATATAAAATTCAAAGGTGATTGACTGACTGACTGACTGACATAGTGATCTATCAACGCACAGCCCAAACCGCTGGACAGATTGGGCTAAAATTTGGCATACAAATAGATGTTATGACGTAGGCATCCGCTAAGAAAGGATTTTGATAATTTCCACCCCCAAGGGGGTAAAAAAGGGGATGAAAGTTTGTATGAAACTTTGTCAATTTTTAACTGATCGGGTTGAAATTTGGCATGCAGATAGATGTTATGATGTAAGCATCCGCTGTGAAAGGAATTTGATAATTTCCACCCCCAAGGGGGTAAAATAGGGGATGAAAGTTTGTATGAGACTTTGTCGGTTTTCAACCAATCGGGTTGTAATTTGGCATGCAGATAGATGTTATGACGTAAGCATCTGCTGTGAAAGGATTTTGATAATTTCCACCCCCAAGGGGGTAAAATAGGGGATGAAAATTTATATGACTTTGTCAGTTTTAAACCGATCGGGTTGAAATTTAGCATGCAATAGATGTTATGACGTTAGCATCCGCTTTGAAAGGATTTTGATAATTTCCACCCCCAAGGGGGTAAAATAGGGGATGAAAGTTTGTGTGAGACATTGTCAGTTTTAAACCGATCGGGTTGAAATTTGGCATGCAGATAGATGTTATGATGTAAGCATCGCTGTGAAAGGATTTTGATAATTTCCACCCCCAAGGGGGTAAAATAGGGGATGAAAGTTTGTATGAGACTTTGTCGGTTTCAACCGATCGGGTTGTAATTTGGCATGCAGATAGATGTTATGACGTAGGCATCCGTTGTGAAAGGATTTTGATAATTTCCACCCCCAAGGGGGTAAAATAGGGGATGAAAGTTTGTATGAGACTTTGTCGGTTTTTCAACCGATCGGGTTGAAATTCGGCGTGCGGTAGATATTATGACGTAAGCATCTTTTAAGAAAGAATTTGATCATTTCACCCCTGAGGGGGTAAAATAGGGGTGAAAATTTGTATGAAACTTTGTCAATTTTAAACCGATCAGGTTGAAATTAGGAGTGCCGGTAGATATTATGACGTAAACATCTTTTAAGAAAGGATTTTGATCATTTTCAACCCCAAGGGGGTAAAAAAGGGGATGAAAGTTTGTATGAAACTTTGTTAGTTTTTAACCGATCGGGTTGAAATTTGGCATGCAGATAGATGTTATGACGTAACCATCCACTATGAAAGGATTTTGATAATTTCCACCCCCAAGGGGGTAAAATAGGGGATGAAAGTTTGTATGAAGCTTTGTCAGTTTTACACCGATGCAGATGAAATTCGGCATGCAGGTAGATGTTATGACGTAGGCATCCCCAAGTAAGGATTTTGATATATTTCCACCACCAATGGGGTAATGTAGGGGATGAAGTTTGTATGAGCTTTGTCAGTTTTACATCGATGCAGATGAAATTCGGCATGCAGGTAGATGTTATGACGTAGGCATCCCCAAGTAAGGATTTTGATTATTTCCACCACCAATGGGGTAATGTAGGGGATGAACGTTTGTATGAAGCTTTGTCATTCTTACACCGATCGGGTTGAATTTCGGCGTGCAGATGGATATTATGACGTAAACGTCCCTTTAGAAAGGTTTTTGAACATTCTCACCCCAAAGTGGGTAAAATAGGGGGTGAAAGTTTGTATGATACTTTGCCAGTTTTAAATTGATCGGGCAACTTTGCATGTATAAAGTTACTATGACATAGGTATCTCTTTAGAAAGGATTTTGATAAATTCCACACCTAAGGGGATAAAATAGGGAATGAGAGTTTGTATAAATCGTCTTAGCCATTGAATTTAGATTCATTGAATCTTTTTGAATTACATTCGGTGAACGATGATTTGGGACCTAGGTAACGTTTGATAGTTTCTATCACAGATGTCCCACGGGAACGAGAACTATGCGTCAATGCCCCAGGACTCTCTAACTGTTAACCACTGAACTTATTTTAGAGAGATTCGGTACAACAATAGTCGATAGAATAGTTTTTATTACTCAAACCTTCCGTGATCGGGCACTGTACTGGTAAGATCCCTATGGGATTATTTATTTATTGAAACTACGATAAATCATTTCAAAATAGGTAAATCTTACTTGGGCACTGAATTGATTCTGATTAATTCTGTCAGAAGTCATTAATCTACGCGGACGAAGTCGCGGGCAACAGCTAGTCTATGTATATAAAAGGAAGTCGTGTTAGTTACACCACTTATAACTCAAGAACGGCAGAATAGATTTGGCTGAAAATTGGTGGGGAGGTACCTTAGAGCCAGGGGACCGACATAGGATACTTTTTAACCAAAATTTTTATTTACTTTTTTCCGAAAATCACGAACGGGGACGGGAAAAAATGGGATGGTACGCGTACGAAGTCGCGGGCAGAAGCTAGTCTATATATATAAAAGAAAGTCGTGTTAGTTACACTATTTATAACTCAAGAACGGCTACATCGATTTGAATGACAATTGGTGGGGAGGTAGCTTAGAACCAGGAGACGGACATGGGATACTTTTTCATCGATTTTTTTTTTACTTGTCACCGAAAATCACGAACGGGGACGGGAAAGACCGGGGTTGCGCGTACGAATTCGCGGGCAGAAGCTAGTAAATAATAGATTTATTTATTATCTCTCTACACAAAGGATATTGGGATTTTTTTTAAACGGGCAACTTTTCCCACTCTAGGATTATCTCCTTATCTCCAGGGTGCGTTTACAAACATACAAGTTCACATACACAATAACACCCAGACCCGAAACAACAATATGTGGATCACACAAAGTGTTGTTCCGTGCGGGAATCGAACCCGCGTCACGTTGCACAGCAGTCGGTTGCCCAGCCACCGCACCAATTTGAAGTTTGTAGTTTTGGTAAATTACACCTACCAGAAGAATAATCAGTCCGCAGCAGGTTCTCGCTCTGCATTTTAGTCTTGAGGCACGCTATGTACCTCCCACAGAAGTCTCGACATAGCTCCTGCACCTTCTCCAGCTCCAGAAGGTGGATCCTTAGCACCTGGAATTGGGAGAATGTGTGTTAAGCTCAGTGAATTGGTTGCTAGTTACAAGTTGGGTAATTACATAACATAACATCACGCTTTTTATCCCCGAAGGGGTAGGCAGAGGGGTGCACATCACGGTACTTAATGCCACTGTACAATGTAAATAAATAAATAAAATAAAATTTATTTTCCAACATAATAGTCTAGAAATGTACAGTTTTGCTTAAAGCTATATAAACACCCACTTTTCAATATTTATGTTATGAGTCCCATGTAATTGGGGGTAAGCCTATTGCCATATACAAAGCATGATCCCAGACTCCGTGTTGCTACTAAGTAAAACACCAATAATACTTTACTCGGGAATCGAACCCGAGACCCCTTGCCTAGCAGTCGTACTTACTACCACTCGGCCAACGAGGCATTCGTAGTAACTCTTTGTAAGAGTTACAAAAACACATTTCTTCACGAACCTGAATGCTTTTAATCATAAGTCCGTCTATCTCGGGGTCGTCCACGAGGAAGGGCCTTCGGTCTCGTCTCTGATGCTGGACGAAGGCCTGTAGGTCTGCGCCGAAGGCCTCGGCCGCAGGAGGCTCTGCCCCTGCTGTCGCTTGCTCGCATCTCTCCAGGAGGAGTGCCAGTAGGGGGAATAGTGGATGTCTGGAAGTAAAGAGTTACTGCTTTAATTACATCGTGGTGGCCCAGACGCCTGCTTCTCATGCACGAGGGTGCGGGTTCGAAACCTACCAACGGCAAGTACCAATGTGACTTTTTCCGAGTTATATACTTTCTAAGATTATTTAGATACCACTGACAAACTGTGAAGGAAAACATCGTGAGGAAACCTGGGCTTATAATTTCTAATTTTAAAGTTTGAAATCGCCAACCCGCATTGAGCAAGCGTGGTGATTAATGCTCTAACCTTCTCGGTGTGAGAAGCGGCTTTGCTCAGCAGTGGGCATTTATAAGCTGTTGATGATGATGAATTAAATTACAGTAAGGTGTCGGAAAAGAGTCAATGGTGGTATCCAAAACCACTTCATTCAGGATTTCACTTCATTGGATGGTAATACACATAACATCATTACCGCCCTTTTACCCCCGAAGGGATAGACAGAGGTACACATTACGGTACTTAATGCCACTGTACAATGTAACACCCACTTTTCACTATTTATGTTACTAGCTTTTACCCGCGGCTTCGGTCGCGTCACAAGAGGATAAAAAGTAGCTTACGTGACATATACCAATACACACAGCGCCATCTATACCAATAATTTCGGTTTCCCTCGAGAATATCAATTTTCCGGGATAAAAAGTACCCTATTATTTAATCCAGACTGCTAACTTCACATCTGCAAAAATTCAAAGCAATCGGTTTAGTAGTTACGGCGTGAAAGTGGAACAAACAAACAAACTCACTTTCCGATTTATAATATTAGTGAGGATGAGTCCCATGTAATAGGGGGTGAGTCTATTGCCATATACCGGACACAATTCTAGACTGCGTGCTACTACTGAGATTTTTTATGATATATTTCATAAAATCTATAAAAAGCCGACGACGGGTGACCAGCGCGCGGTCCAATCGAGTTGTAATCAAGTTGTAGTGTAGTTGCCCGCGTGGTTACGGTGGCGCGCCGCCCGCGAACCGACAGCGCGCTGACAGCACGGCGTCGGCTAGCGCTCCCGAAAACACACGAAAAAAATTTTGTTTTTATAACACAATTTTAATAGTTTTTGTTTTCTTATGCAACATCAGTCTGGAGCAGTTGATTACAACTATTATTACATAAAAGAAACATCTGATACCTTAAAATATAACTCGTTTTTTTTATTATCACCCGTCTTCGTTTTTGAAAGCGTTCAATCACTGTATACCGTGGTAGAACCATACTTCATGAAACAACGTTTGCGCTATGTAACACCGAAACGCCTGCCTTAACGGCCGGCATGGCACTAGTAACCAACTCCTCTAGCAATTATGAGCAGTGCCCATTACTTATATAATCTCATTAGCTGTTGCCCACGACTTTGTCCGCGTAGAATATGAATTTTAGGAAAAAAGTTTTTTGTTTCATTATTCCAAAATAAAAGTATGTTATTATTAGCCTATGTTACTCCTTAGTGCATCAGCTACCTGCCAATAAAAGTCCCGTGAAAATCGGTCCAGCCATTCCAGAGATCAGCCAGTACAAACAGACAGACAGACAAACAAAAAATGTTAAAAAAATATTTTAGTAAGTGTATCGTATGTATATTCATATACATGTAGTAAAAAGCAGTTATTTTAATATTACAAACAGACACTACAATTGTATTTATCAGTAATTCTAACAGATTACTTTCCTAAACTATAGAAATAAATTATTATTATACTAGCTACTTCCGCGCGCTCTGCTCAGTTCCTAATGGTCGTAGCGTTTGTTGTTGGATGTTTTATAGCCTATAGCCATCCTCGATAAATGCGCTATACAACACAAAAAGAATTATTCCAGAATTATTATCAGACCTGTAGTTACGGAGATTAGCATGTTCTAACAAACAAACAAAAACACAAACATTTCCGCTTTATATACTACTAGTATAAGATATAAGATAAGACTAGTATAAGAAGTATAAGATATAGATTTAAACGTACTTATACACGGCCCTCTTGTCGGCCTCAAACTGAGCCTGGTCGGCGTCCGCGGCGGGCGCACCGCCGCCCTGCATCCCGCCAAGATCACCACCTTGGCTACCTCATCTGTAACAACACAAATGTAAACTTTAAAATATGATTTCTTACAAAAGAAAAATTATCAAAATCGGTCCAGTAGTTTAGGAGCTAGGGTGTCGCGTCACAGACATATATCAATACAGAAGCCGCGACTACATCGCACGTCGACTTTTGTAACGACAATAGGGTAAATGACTAATTTTTATTTTAATGTCCGTCTGGTAGATTATACATATTAAATCATTCGACATGTATTTTTTATTTTTTTACAGAAACGAATACTTTCTATGATATATTTGATTTGATAGGCGCTTAGGTGCACATTATGCCACTATACAGTGCAACACCCACTTTTCAGTATTTATGTTATGAGTCCCATGTAATAGGGGGTGAGCCTATTGCCATATACCGGGCACAATTCCAGACTCCGTTCTACTACTGAGATTTTTATTAAAATCCTAGTAATATGAAATGAGTGAAATGAAATACGATTAAGTCGGCATAAGATGCACATCAGAAAAAAAACTTATACATAATACTTTGCCCGACCCGGGAATCGAACCTCAGACCCCTTGCCCGGCAGTCGCACTTGCGACCAATCTGCCAACGAGGCAGTGTGTTTGTGACACATGTTTAAATTGTCATTAAATGGTAATAGAACACAGGATGTTTTATATTATGTCTAGGTTACACACGAAATCTCCCTTTCCTTTATTAAAAACGATCCCTACAATAACTACAGCGAAACAGCAAAGAAAATACACTTAAGTGGTATTTTATATCAATTCACTGGCAACACTTGTGATGAATGTGTTGCCCGCTTTTAATATCTCTTTTTATTGCCTACCGAGACGGTTTGTGGCGCGCTCTCTTATTTTTCTATTTATTTTATTTATTTATTTATATGTATTACTTAGACAATAGTTTTGTTAGTTTATTCTCTTGTTTTCGTTTCGTCAAAATATGTGATAAGTTTGAGGATATAAAACTTAATTTGTTTAGTAGTGTCGCTTATTTGAATAGGGTAGATGACCAATTTTTATTTCAATGTCCGTCTGGTAGATTATTTTGAAACATTACACACGTGTTTTTTATTTTCTTCCATGAAACGAATTTAAAATGTCGCGTGACGTCATTTCTAGGGCTGCCTTATAAGTAGAAATGACGTGTTACCTCCCACTTCTAAACTTTCGAGTCGTTTTGTCAATGTATTGTTTGCTTATAAGACCAAATAAAAAATACGTGTCTAATATTTTTTTATTACCTAACTGACGGACTAAGTAGATTTTTAATTTTCATACCCTGTCATCATCCCTTATACTTGAGCCTTATAGTGGGTATATCATACACAATAGTGTAGATGAATATGTTTGCAAATGACGGTCCAGTTGAAATTATTAGTCCCTGCTGGACAGGAGGCAGTCCTCTTTATTAGGCAGGCGAGTTGGAGTTCGGTTTAGGTTTATAGCCTAGCTTCACAGACGGACTGACTGACAGAGTATTATTTATTTTGTATATTGTTGACGTTTCAAAAGTACCAAATTATGGTTAAATTTACATAAATGCTTTGACTTTGACTTTGATCAGAGAGCGCTGTTGCCCGGTCTCTGTCATATATCTACTTCCTGACTGACGAATACCTATGGATCGGTACAAGATAGAAACGCTAAAGAATCTAAATGTTTGGATCAGTTAATCATTTCGCTAAGTACGACACCAAAGACATAAGTAAAGGGTGCTCATGTCGTCATTATACAACTTAAATTAATGAAAAAGAACCTTTAGCAGAAACCGTTGCAGAAAATATTCTCACAAAAAGGGTCCGTATCAGCTAAAAAGTAGACATTTTTGTTTTTTTCTTTCCTTATTTTGTTGGTAATCGGGTAGGATTAATTATATACAGCCTGTATTGAGGAAACGTGAGAATTGTTGCAAACTTTTTCCTAGTTGAAAACGAGGAGAATACTGCTTACGAAATTTATGCGTAGACCCTTTCAAAGAATAGAATAAGTAGTTGTACTATGACCTCATGAAGACAGAACGTTTATAATACAAGACCCCACGTAGGTAATTAGTGATCATTTTGTAAATCTTTCTCCGATTCAGGGTCTTCCGAAAACCACAATAATCAGAAATCCATTTTAACACTCATGAATCCATATTCAGCCTGTAATATGGCTTAAAACTAGTCAAGTTCTTCGTCAAGTAATTACATGTCTAACCCGACTTCAAAAACTTAGAGGACTTCACCACGAATGGGCCGGCTCGACCGGAGTGATACCACGGCCGAGCAAAAAAACCATACTGAAACAAAGCCTGCGTTGTGTTTCGTCGTGTGAGGTTACCGGAGGCCCAATTACTCCCTCTCTCCCTAATCTTCCTAATCCCTGAATCCCCGACCATCCCCAAAAGGCCGGTAACACACTTGTAACGCCTCTGGTGTTCTAGGTGTCCATGGGCGGCGCCGATTGCTTGCCATCGGGTGATCCGTCAGCTCGTTTACCGGTATATACAACAAAAAAAAATCTAGCAACCACTTCGCCAAGACTACCCAAGGTAAACCGGATTAAGATGTTTAATATCAAGATTCAAAATAGGCGGAGGTCTATTGTACTTTGAAAGTTTTGTAAGTGGTAGGGCAGAGGACAAAAGGGGACTTATCATTATTGGTGATCTTTCGGAAACCTTTGGATATATTTCGACGGGATTTGTCTTCGGATTGTAAGGGATTTGACCAGCTTTTGAGTGGGACGATGGAGTTTCAAATTATGGACTGAGGTGCACATGTTAATAAAATCTATGTTAATAATATACTGCGACTGCCGGGCAAGGGGTCTCGGGTTCGATTTCCGGGTCGTGCAAATTATTATTGGGTTTTTAAAAAAAATCTCAGTAGTAGCACGGAGTCTGGAATTGTACCCGGTATATGGCAATAGGCTCACCCCCTATTACATGGGACTCCCAATGTGACTTTTTCCGACATATATGTACTGTCTAAGATTATCTAGACACCACTGATAAACAGTGAAGGAAAACATCGTGAGGAAACCTGGGCTTATAATTTCTAATTATAAGTTTGTAATCGCCAACCCGCATTGAGCACGCGTGGTGATTAATGCTTAAACGTACTCCGTGTGAGAAGAGGCTTTGCTCAGCAGTGGGCATTTATAGGCTGTTGATACAAATACAACGCAAAATTAAACATTTACATGCGAAATATAAACTGTAGCGTACCCCAGATCTAAAATACTTGGGAATAACAAATCGTATATCAATAAATAGCAAGTTTTCAACGTATACGAACGTGCTCAGTAAATAGGAGTAGGCGACGCAGGACGCATTGTAATGGCCGACTTATTTCCCGCGCTTTTGCCCTCAAGTGTTGCCAACGTGTCGATAGTGTTGCGTTGTTAGAAAATTTTTGTATATTTAGGGAAAATATTCTGTTCGGTGTTTTTTTTAGGTAAGGGGAACTGAGTGGATTATCTATATTTATAAGGTTTTATAAGCAGTGTGTTGACGGTAAAGGAAAGTACATCGGTCCGCCTACTTTTCCAGTGGGTGTTGCGAGAGCCGCCTTTGGGGCTGTACAACGACAGAGGCCGGACAACAGCACTCTCTAATAAACCTGAACCTTTTATACTGTAATCTCCAAACCTGTCTACCAAACTGGACGATTATTTGTAAAGTAATCAAAAAACCGAAATTACTATTAACCATTCCCGAACATTAGTCGCAGACCTAAGCTATGGGGCCCAATAGCGCTGATGCCGATACGGAGCCACGGAGGACTTAACGGGTTGCCGGGGCTCCGGCTCGAAGTGCAGGAGTAGGAACGGGGTGGTTTTTAGTCAACAAGAGTCTGACACTCCCCTCGCTTTACCCAGCCGGGACAAGGCATACGATTATTTTCCCCCCTTAAAAAAAAGACCTAAGCAGTTCTCAAAAGAGCTAGATGAGATGATTCTAAAACCGTACAACACGAAAAGCCGTTTTCTTCCAAATACAATAGGAATGAACTGTGTAAACATTTGTATCTAAACTACTGAACACACTTCAGTCAATATTTGTTTAGGGTTGTGAAGCTAATAAGGTAGGGGACAGAAGGTTCACTATGCGAGAAGCCGGTTAAAATATTAAAGGTTATTTTCTCAGACAATGTATTTTGATTTTAAAATGCCATAAGATATTCTAAATTATCGCACTTTCAGTACCTAATATGAGTGTGGGAGAGCCATGCTTCGGCACGAATGGGCCGGCTCGACCGGAGTGATACCACGACATCACAGAAAACAGACGTAAAACAACGCTTGCGTTGTGTTTCGTCTTGTGAGTGTTACCTGAGTAATTAATGGATAAAATTTTAGTTTATTTTTTAGCTTTTTGCTGGATGTTTCTTGAAAGGAAAAATAAATTTATTATGCATAACACTAAGGCATAACATCTTAATTATTTTTTGAAAGGGAAATGAAATTTAACCTTATGACGTCACAATATACAAATTAATAGAAAATTTATGAAAGACTTATCACTTTTACATCCAAAAATAAATTAATTGTAACATTTATCATCATTATTATCACTAACTTAAAGAATACTTCGAAACATACTGAAAAGTCACTATTTTTGAAGTAAAATATTCAAAAATTCTTCAACGAACCTTCTGCACAAAACTGTTACCCTCGAATCTCACTTTATCTGGTTTAATATCTTCCGGCCTTTGTTTATGCGAGGGTAGGCAGTAGGTACCCTAATTCCGTGCCGCTACCACAGATAACTAACAGGAAAATTGCGCGAAAAATATAACTTACTCTGCCTACAAAGTTTTTTGAAAAAAAGTTTTATCTTTGGTATTTGGGGCGATGCCCTATGTAAGGAATGCTTAGTATACGGGTAATTGTGATTAATTATATTATTTGAATAATTAGTTTTGCAACAGATTAACTTTAATGTGTGTGTAGAATATATTTGTCCTTGCCTTTCCCGTAAATCAAAG